TGTTTGTTTGTAATTAAGCACAAAGCTACACAATGGGCTATCTGTGCTCTGCCCACCATGGGTATCGAAACCATCAAGTGCATTCAAACTTCAAAACATCTGCTGATTCCATGAAGCTATGTTATGATAAGAGATCTACTGAAGTCAGCTTTGTACCAGGAGACATGGTGTGGTTGTATATACCCAGGAAGACCAAAGGGAAGTCTCCTAAGTTGTCTTCTCCATGAGAAGGCCCATATGACATAGTGGATCGTCTCTCAGACGTGACTTTCCGAATAAAATGTGGTCGGAGAGGTAAGCCAAAGGTGGTGCAAGCCAACAGGCTTTGGCTTTATAATGGTCCAGGACATTTCAGTTGGGATGAAGTGAACAGCTGAACAAAAGATGCCACTGAAGACGTGTCACTTGAAAAAGTCACTATTGAAGAAGAAACTCTACTCGGTTTTCAGAAGGGAAACAGTGAAGCCCTTGATGAAGTTACTACCACTGATGTGACTGTTACAGATAACAGAACATTTCCTGATAGAGCAGATGAACTTTACGTGAAGCAGAAGCCAACAAGACAGAGACCAGTACAGAAGAAGATACGTCCCGTAAAATTAAGAGACTTTGTTGAATTTTAATTTTGTGTTTGTAAATCCTGTACATTTAATTAAGTTATTGTTAATTATCTATTGGTTTAATTTAAGTGGCTACTGTTCGGGACGAACAATACTAAGGAAGGGGCAGTGTTACGACAGTGGAAGTCACGTGACGCTGGTAACACGTGATGAGTGTCTAGAACATTTGGGAAGAGGCTATAACGTGCTACGCACGCACTTTTATTGTGTATAAGTGCGCCAGATAAAGGAGACATTCATTCGGAATTGAACTGCAGACAGAGAGATATAGAGACAGATAATCGAGTCAAGCCGTAAGTAAAGTGCGTGAATCGTTGTGAATTCTAGCGTGTGTTTAAGTTAAAGTACCTGTGGAAATTAAGTGTATTGCAAAGTTGAATTGAGAAAGAATAAACTAGTTTTATTTAAGAAAGGACTTGAATCGCTGAAGTTTCTCAGAAAGAATTTCTATGAAAAATTAACAAGCGAACACAGACGTAACAATATCTATGAAGTTTCATCTATTAAGTAGCCACAATTCGAGCACTGCCACATCTCCATCAAAATATTTAAATCTATAAAATAAGAATACAAAAATGCTACAATCAACCACTGACAGTGTGCATTACTCCAATATTCAACCACTGGAAAGTGTGCTTTAACCTTGTACAAACGTTTTTTGTGCATACATTGGCAGGGAAGGAATCATTTTCAGCTAAGACAGTTTCATTTCTCTAACAGGGTGGTTGGCCTTTGGAATGGGAATCAGATGTGGTAGATTCAGTAAATTTAAGGTAGTTTAAGGAAAGGTTTGATAACTATTTTAATGATAAAGGCTGGCTTTGAGTTTTATTTTATTTTTTAAAGTTTAGTTTAGGTTAGCAGACAGGATAACCTAGATAGACCAACAGGTCCCTTGGTGTCCTTAAAGTTTATGTTATGTTAATAAAAAGCTAATGGATGACTTGCCTCTATAACTGAAGGTTTTAACTATTCTGATAAAATGCATTTTCTTTACTCTTATGTTAAACATATGCTACTTTTTGATCTTTACTGAGCTGAAAAATTTACAATGCATGTTCTGCACAGAATTCTGTCAACTAAAAAATTCTGTTTTGTAAAGTTACAATCAAACAGTCTTTACACTGATCCTGAACATGACAACCTTTCTTCAATTTCTTCTTTTTTTTGGTCTCTGGTATTTCTAGTTTTTGAAGCATGCTTCTCTTCCAATATACCATGTTTTTATATTCTATTATTCAGTAAAAAGCCCACCACTACAGAGCTTCACATTGTCAGCAGTGGGAAATCTTACATTTAGAAACATTAATGTTATGACGTATAGAGCATAATTCTGATGCTATATCTCTTGATGCATTATTCACTTTTGGTCATGTATTTTATTATAAAATTTATTTATTTATTTTATTATTATTATTTCATATTCAGAACTATATTATTTATTGTTAACCAATATTAAATTTTGTTTGAAAATTTGTTAATATAGATTATAAGTTAGTAAAATCAGAGTCTATGTTGTGTAAACAGTAATGTTTTAGGTTGACTTTTGTAGACTGTTTTTTCCATAACTATGCAATTCTACTTGTTTTGCTGCCATCACTTTCAATATATATATACATTGATTTATTTATTTATTTACTTTTCTTAAAATTAAAAAACCTTTCGACTTATACTTTGAATAAGATACAAATGTTCTCTTGTAAACAACTTTGGATAACGATGGAAGTTGGTCAGTTTGCAGTCAGGGAAATATTTTAAATGGATCAGAATATGTTATTCAGAGAAGACGCAATGTTCTGAATATGGCTTGATCACACTTACATTGTGTTGATGGCAGAAGTTCACAGCTTGTAATGTCTGCCATATTAAACGCTTAGTTAGTTGATCTGGAACTCTGGAAAAACAATGTAAACATTATACATTTATATTAGTATAATTAGAGCTTAGTACTCATATTCATCAAGTCTTATTGTTTCTGTGCCAATAAATACCATGTCAAAAATATATCACATTTACATTTTAAATCGTGAACCTCAGTTACATAACTCTGTGTATATATACTACAGTTGTCTCATTTATGGTAAAATGATAACTACTGTCTACAGTTAACAGTGCCATCTACAGGGTATATTTAGCAGTGCTATCTACTGGATGTATTAAGGGGTCATTCACAATTTACACAAAGGTACAAAATGGTGTGATTGAGGAGGATAAGAGCTTGTGTATGCTTTTCAAAAAGATGTCAAAAGGGCATCATTTACTATCAATATATAACTTGCAAAAATATTGACCAGCAACAACTTCATCAAATTATATGGAGTTGAACACACTTTCTATTTCTCAGTATCCTATATGTAATGACTAATGTCTGATATCTCTTTAAAAAACTTTGCCATTTCATGCATGTGTATACTTTCAGAGGGGGTGGATCACAAAAAAGTGTTTTGTACACTTATGAAAATGGAATAAATTATGAATGACCCCTTAGTAATACTATTCAGCTGCTGGTATCCTTATATATACATACTCTCATTAACTAGAACTAATTCACTAGAATGAAGAAAAGCAGTCATAAAAATAGTGGGATATGTTTATTTAATCAGTTGTTTTTACTATCTATACACACTATTATTTTAGAATACATTCATGAACTTCAGATATGTTAGGAAATACAACATTAAAAGACACTACTGATCATTAATGTTTCTCAGATATTTGTTACATGAAACATTCATTAAACATATTTATATATTTTTTAAATATGATTCATAACATGCATGATTTGCTGATAGAAGCGTATCTCATATTTAACTAAATAAGAATTTAATTACTCATACAGAAATAAATGATTGGTGTTTTTATTGTCTGGATGACTCAAAAGATATATTATTTATTGCAAAATTTGCACATCTAAAGTTGATTTTAGGCATTCAAATCATTAAAACACATAAAAAAAGATTCTGAATGTGTTAACATTTCCCTATAGAACTAAAAGAACAAAACACACATGAACCAATATCATACGACCCAGTAGAAACACATTTAAAATGTATTGAGCCAAAATACCTATTCTGCTGAATTAAAGTCCAGGTGAAGATATTTAAATCTATTATTTCAAGTATAGTTACAATCTACTAAAATAAATATCCTGCTAGAGAGTCTTTTCATGTAAACTTTCAGAAAATAGAATTTCAGTTGCTTTTGAATGAATGTTGTTTGCCACATCCTCGACATTGATGATATGAAAACTATTAAATCTAGCTTTCACATCCTAACCAATTAATTAATTTAGACATAATATGAATGATTATAGCTTAATGTTGAATAGAAGTCCTTAAAAAATAATATAAATACAAACCCTCTAGGATTTTTCTCCAAAATATCCAAGACAGTATGATCACAATATTCAAACACCATATGCAGTTTTCTTTTACGGCGAAACACTTCAATCAAGTTCACCAGGTTGGGATGTTTCAGGTGCTATGTAAGATGAGATAAATACAAACATAACGACTGATGTGAAAATCAACAGGCAAGTACCACATCAAAATGCTGGAGGTTAAGATCACTAGTTCTTATAATTATTTCACTTTTACAGCAAGTAAAGTTATGTATGTAAATATTGGGTTCTTGACATTATGCATTTTCAAAACATTTTTCAAGCTGTTTATTTGGTTGTACTATTAATGAGCTCCACAAATGTGAAAAAAAAAGGCTGAAAAACAGAATTTGGTTTTCCATAATCCTACATATTTTTAAAACAAATAGTATTAGAATTTTATTTAAAAATTACTACTTGAATACAGTTAGGTGATAAATGTATTTCATTTAAATGTAAGTAATATAACTTAATTATTTGAAAATCAACTAAAATTTATTCTGCTTCAAAACAAATCAAGATTTTGTCATTCCTAAAATACAGGCTAAGCTATAGTGTACACTAATTCTGTTGTATTTCTTTTGTGTGTGTGTGTGTGCTGATCAAAATATTACCCCAGATGTTGTAAGAAGAAGGGAGAACTTGTAAGGGAGAAGAAGTGTCATTAATACCAAGAGTGGTCCTTCTATGTCATCACATACTTCTAAGGTAATGAAAATGGCTTTTACTGAATGTTTTGCTACAGCTCATCTTATACATAAAATTAATTAATGTATGACTAAGTTTACAAGTAAGTTTCTAAAATAAACATTCAAATTTATTTGTAGCTAAAGAAACTATATTAAGTAAAAGCAAAAACTAACCTTCAGCATTCGTATTTCTCGTAATGCAATTTTCTTAATCAGTGGATCATCCTCTGTTTCCACATATTTTTTGACAGCTACAAGTTGTCCAGTTTCACGATTGCGACATTTAAATACAACACCATATGATCCTTCACCAATTTTTGTAATTTTTTCATATTTTTCCATCACTGAACTGCAATGATTTCTATGTTTTCTGGAAAATAATATATATATATATATATATATACATATATATATAAATTAGAACAGTAATAATATATCATAGTATAAAAAAAATGACTAGAATATTAAATTTATATAACTTTTAACAAGTCTTCAACAGTAAAGAAAATAATAATACCTGATAAATTATTCATGAAAACTCATCAAAAACAACATTATGCAAAACATTTTGCACTCTTATTTTGAATGACAATTTACATGTTCTTGTAAATTTAAACTTTAATTTTTTAAAGTGCATCCTGAGAGCCCAAAACATCCTCATATGGGGATGAAATTTTACAATTTCCAAAATTTGAAAGCAGATTTTTGTTTATGGACATGTCAACTTTCATGTAAACTTATGCAGCCAGTTCTAAGAACTAATATTACAATTCAGAAAATCTGGATATAGATGTCTATCTTGAACGATCCTTTACATGACCATGCTAATTTCATGCAAATCCGAAGATCCAGTCTTGAGAAAACCTTAACACCTATTTGTACGTTTTAAGCAAATTGGTTCAGTCAGCCTGAGAGCTCCCGACCCGCGTTACCCCATTTTGAGACCCTTTCACCATTTCAAAATTGTTTTATTCATTAATATTCTGTAGGAGACAAATGCTGACATAAAAATGTTAAACATTTTTGTCCAAAACTGTGTGTGAAGCTCAACATACACACACACACACATACATACACAGTACAACTGAAAATGATCGATGGCCTATACTTACCTATACACTAAAGATTTAATCATTAATGCAAAAAAATGCTCTCTACGATATGATAAAACACTTCATATATCAGTGATAAATGTATTATTATACTTTAAGTTTAAGTAACAAACATTACGATCAAATATTGTTCGACTTTCAATTTTTCCTAATTATTTTTACTTTAAGTTATTTTAGCAACTAATCCCTCAAAAATATTTGATCTACCAGCAACCTTAAGACATCTTGCGTATATCACAGCGGCAGGCTTATCTTGTACACAAATTTAGCAACGTATCGACACAAGCAGTCGTACCATTTACTACCACCGTTAGAACAATGTTTGCATTCGATAGTTGCCATAGTAATAAAAATACAAAAGTGCGTCACAGTACTGCATATAACATCACAACTGAAAAGCACGTGGCTAACATATCTATTGTGTTTTAATGTCTTCAAATCTAAAAGCAAAACTTAAAAGATATGTCAATTATGATTAAAATAACTTTAAACTGAAAGAAAAGCATGAGTTTTATGATATACTGAAAAGTTACGACCGTAATATTAGAAAAGATTAGGTTTGGTTTGGTTTGGTTTTAGCGCAAAGTTACGCAATAGGCTATACGCGCTCTGTCCATCGTTAGAAATTGAATCTCAGATTTTAGCGTTGTAGGCTATTAAACTTATCGTTGACCCATCGGGGGACTTTTCGAAGAAGTATAACAAGTACCACATCTTTGTTAAAGTATTTGTTGAGGCCAGTAAACTTCTGTTTGCGCTCACAGTAATGTTCTTTGTGAAGTTGATTTTTAGTTATAACAATAAAAATCCCCCTGTCGGCCAATTGTCAGTTTGTTTGTTATTAAACATACGGCTCTACAATCGGCCATGTGTGTTTTGTCCATCATGAATATCAGAACCCGGTTTTCCGCTGAGCTACTGGGAGAGAGGTGGGCTGCAGCGGTAATTTTATGGACTTACAACGCTAATATTTGAGGTTCTAATCCCCTTGCGGTGAACAGAGCGCAGATAGCCCATTGTCTAGATTTATGCTAAAGAGAAACAAACGAATAAGTGATGGAATCATTCTCGTGGAATAAAGTTTTTCTTAATTAGGAACTAATAAGGAAGATGAAGCATTTATTTCGATGAATAGATTATGAGCCGCTCTTTGTAAGCTTCCAGTGTATTGCATATACACATACACACACAGAAAAGATTAGGTAGTATGTATTTGACGTGCTTACAGTGTTTAATACAGAAATTCACAACGCGAGTACAAGGCACTAAGTGTAATCGTAACATGTAAGCAACATCATGTTAAATTGCTCAAAGTCTAATACAGAATTTATAGACCTCAAATTCTCATTTGTAAAACATTATGACATATTAGCTACGATTAGGCTAAAAGCCAACGTCAATCACCCTTAGTTCATTTGTGTGAAAATTATACATTTCGTGAGCCATAAGTGATCAGAAATATTAGGTCGTCAAAAAATTAATGTCGCTATTTTTTAGATGAAAAAGCCCGAACAACTTATATATATCAAAACAATACAT